ATCTTTACGATTTCTTTGACTTTAGATTTTTGTTTTTTATAATCCAGAAGCATTAGATTTATTACTGTTTATCTATTTACAAATATTAAGTGAATATTTAAGCTGAAATTACATCGACCAGTGGAGATAAGAAATGAACTTTTCCTTCCGGCCTGGTTGTGCAAAACGGAAAGTTGCACGCTGTTAACTTTATTACTTGTAAGTAGTTAATGACTTTAGGGAAAGTTTTTTTTCACTAAATAACACATAAACAATATTTCAGTCTGCTATAAATGATCCGTGTGAGCGAATAACAAGGATTACACCGTAGAGGTAGTGATATATGAATAAAGTCAGCTATAGAATTAGGAAAAAACACCAACAACACATGAAATCATGTTGTTTTCTAACTTACTATTGAAATTCGAATAATGAATTTGATTATCCTTTATGTTTGCAGAATATAGTCACTGAATAACAGTAATTTCCCCACCTTGTGTAAATACTGAAAACTTTCTCGATTTTATACAACGCAGATTATTTAAGAGTGGTTAATAATCCTTTGGCTATAATTTAATCATTGTATTTTAAGTTCTTAAAATATTATATCATAATTTCGCTACTGCTCATACTACTAGAAGGATAATTAATCCATTTGGATTTCTTAGGTTACTGAAATTACGAATTCCGTTATCAAAAAAATATTAGCAGTTCCATACGACTGAATTTGAAGGTATTTTTCAGTGTTGATATAATGGCACTTGTTTTAACGGTGATTGTTAATTTCATGCGTCTAACGAAAATTGCAACACATTTATTTTGATACCTAGAATCGAAATCTTCGTTTCTAGTTATTAATTCCAAGATAATGTTATTCAAGTCCATGGATCCCGAATATAGAAAACATTTGCACTAGACGGTACAGAGAAACGCCCTCAAATGCCCTGGTATGGCCGAGAGTGGGGAGAGTCCGCCCTCCCTCTCGAAATGCCCTCACATGGCCATGCTTATATAGCCTCTGCCAGGGAAGTCCTACTCACTGCCTTCTCGTGGCGGGGTGTTGTTTACGAAATTGAGAGGACGAAAAGCGAATGTCCGGCGCTTTAACCGGACTCTAAACCAATGGTGCACATGGGCTCCAGGATCCTGGGGAACAAATGGCGTATGAACCAATTGTTGGTCAGCGGCTAACATGGGACTGCATCTCCTCACGATGCTCCACTGCCTTGTGGGTCAGACCTTTAGGTCAAAGGCTCGGGGTGTTGCCATCTAAGAAGACCACCTGCTTCGGTCTGGGCACCCGGGCAGTATCACAGCCCACACACAAACAGAATTAAATGACGATACTTACGGAAAATACTATTCTTCCTTCGATTAACAGTCAAACGGTTCACATTATTATTATTGTTATTTACTACGTCATTTATTCACTCTCTTTTAGTCCCACTTCATGTATACTTATTTTTCGACCTATACAGCAGCTCGCCTATGGTGGAAACTCGGTTTTATCTAAACATTCTCGAGTCACTGACTGGTTGAAAATTGAATGCTACACCAAATACGAATACTGAAGCAGTTTTTCTGAAACTATGTGCACCATTCAAACTGGCTGCCTTCAAAGTTTGCACAATTATGCAGGTCGGACAACAGATAGGGCTGGCTATGTCTTTGGAAAGTCTTAATATCGACGTTTGTTGTCTATCCGAGACCCGTATTCAAAACTCTAGTGAGGTACTGCAAATTCACTCTCCATCTCTCGCTTCAAAAAGCTTGTTTTACATGCGCTTAGCCTGAGACCCTGCGGCATCTTCTTCTGATCTTGCTGGCGTTGATGTCGCACTAAGCGCTAGAGCTAAGACAGCACTAATCGATTGGATCCCGATTAACAGTCGGTTATGTGCTGTTAGACTAGAGAGTTCCATCAAAGCGAGAAGAAATCGGCGTGAGAAACGATGTCTTTTCGTCATATTCGCCTATGCCCCGACAGATTGCAGCCCGGATGCAATCAAGGATGAATTCTACCACCAGTTAATCGTTCTTCTCCAGTAATACTAGCCGGAGACTTGAATGCTCAGGTCGGGCGTCTAGGCACAGAAGAGAGTCGTTTAGGTGGCCGATGGGGACTTGTTGGTCGCAGGTCAGATAACGGGGACCGTCTACTGCAACTGTGCACAAGCCACAACCTGTTTCTGGCTAGCACTAACTTTCGGCACAGTCATCGCCGATGTGCCACCTGGAGTCCTTCTACTGCATCTCAAACCTGAACTAAGATTGATCACATCGCGATCAGCAACCGCTAGCGTGGTTGTGTACAAGACTGCCGCTCCTTTTGGAGTACCTATCTGGATTCTGACCATGCCCTGGTCCGCGCCAATCTTACCTTGCTTTTCAGTGGACAACGAAGTGACCCCCACCAAAGGATTGATGTCAGCAAGGTGGTTGCAGCTTCTGTTGCAAGTAAGTATCGAACCGAGCTAGCCTCTAGGCTAGCTACCATTCCACCGAAAAGTATAGATGAGCATTGGTTGCAACTACATGACGCCGTCAAAATGGCGAGTAAAGCCACTTGAGGCTTCGTGAAACGTCCCCCTTATAAGCACTGGGTTTCTTCAGGCTCCATACAACTCATCGAAGCCCGTCGGTCTACTCCGGGTGACCGTGAGTTTGACCATAAACGAAGGATGTTATGTAAGGAAATCGGGCAAAGCTTGCGTAAGGACCGAGAAGCCTGGTGGTCGAAGCGTGCTAATGAGCTGGAAGCAGCAGCTGCATCTGGTAACTACCGGAAGCTATTCCAACTCATCCGAGCCACTGGCAGCAAGAAGTCTGGTGTGAGTGAAACAATCTGTGAGGATGGCGGGATGCCAATCACTAACATCCATCGACGTCTTGGACGATGGGCAGAATTCTTCGAAGGGCAGTTCAACTGACCTGCTGCTCCGGGAACATCGGTCAGACTGTCCTACCCTCTATGGCCGGTGACGACTGATTCACCAAATGAGGTGAAAGTTCGCAGGGAACCCCAACTCTTGAAGCGCTACAAATCACCGGGCCCAGATGACTTACCTCCGGCTCTCTTTGAAGATGATGGTAACTTTCTGGTTAAGGAACTGACGACGTTGTTTACAAGTCTGGGAACTAGAGAGTGTACCAACGTCATGGAATGAGTCGATAGTTGTCCCTATCTTTAAGAAGGGTTCACATTGTTCCTGTAACAACTATCGGGGGATAAGTCTACTTCCGATTGCGTCCAAGCTAGTGGCTTCCGTCATACTTCGTAGGTTGTTCAAAACCCGAAAAAGATTGACTCGGGAGGAGCAAACTGGGTTTCGTCCTGGTCGTATCTTCACCCTCCGCCAAATTTTAGAACACCGTCATACTTATCAAAGGCCAACAATCGTGGTGTTTCTTGACATAAAGGCTGCCTTCGATTCGTTGGATAGGACCGTTCTCTGGGATAGTCTATTGAAGAAGGGTGTGCCTGAGAAGTTTATTAACATCTTAAAGGTCCTATATACAAACACCTCAGGCAGAGTGAGGGCATACAACCACCTCTCTCCATTGCTCCATTCGAGCAGTGGGGTTAGACACGGTTGCTCAGTCTCACCATTCCTCTTCAACTTTGCCATCGACGACATTCTGGAAACAGCTCTGATGGATGTAAGTAATTGTGGTGTGGATCTGTTACCTGGAGAAAGACTTCTCGATCTTGAGTACGCGGATGATATTGTCTTATTGTGTGATAATGCCCAAGCCATGTAATCCACACTTAATCAGTTGGCAATCAGTGTCCGTAAGTATGGTATGCGCTTTGCACCTTCGAAGTGCTAAGTACTTCTACAAGACTGGCAGGATTCTAATCCTTTACTCACCCTGGATGGTGAACAGATAGAAGTAGTCGAGAAGTTCGTGTATCTAGGTAGCTGCATAAGTGCTGGTGGGGGCGTGAATGATGAGGTCAATGCACGTATAATGAAAGCCAGAGCGTCTTATGTCAATCTGGGCCACCTTTGGCGCCTTCGTGATGTCAGTTTGGCTGTAAAAGGTCGGATCTGCAACGCGTCAGTGAGAGCAGTTTTGCTCTATGCTTGTGAGACCTGGCCTCTCCGGATTGAGGATGTTAGACGACTCTCTGTGTTTGATCATCGTTGTCTCCGAAGGATTGCTGACATCCAGTGACAACACCATGTTAGTAATACAGAGGTTCGGCATCGTGTGTTCGGGCGCAGAGACGATAATCCAATTGGTGTCACCATCTTGAAACACCGACTTCGGTGGCTTGGACATGTTCTACGAATGTCGTCCCAGACAATTCCACGTTGTGGATTGTTTGTCGACGCTGGGACTGGTTGAAAAAAGCGGAGAGGTGGTCAGTGTATGACATGGTGTCGGGGTATGAAAGAAAGCTGCAAAGAACTGACTTCTGTTGGTCCTTCACGACTCCCTGGCTAGGGTCCGAGAGATGGTGAGACACAGTGGCTAGAGACGTTATCAGATATGGCTCAGAACAGAAGCCAGTGGCGATCCTGCTGTAACCTTCTTTTACTTTCTTCATAAAAAAGGTTGTATCTTCCTTAACTGAAGGAATTCTTCTGGTTGTACCTTTCCGTTTCCCCCATTATTACCATTATTATTATTATTATTATTATTATTATTATTATTATTATTATTACTACACCACCTTACACTAATCTATTCGTTATTGTTCTTTTTTTCTTTCTCTTCGAATTCTCATTGTTTTGTGTGGCGCATATATATTTGGTGCCCTCTTGTACTAATATTTATGTGTTCAAATAAAATAAAATAAACAGAGAAACAATAGATGCCTCAAGTTGACGCGAGGTATATACATTGACACGTACAATCGTACATTCAGACCACACTGTAGTGCGATGTCATATATCGTTAAAACTATACGGTTCACTTCCATTATTACCTACTATTTTAATCTTGGCTGAATGATCAAACGTGATAATCAGTATACACCTATGACAAAAACTAGGAAGTAAGTAGTTAAATACTAACTAATAAAATGTCGCTATATTATAAAAACGTCAGGCGTTAGCTTCATAAGAACAAATTAAAAATCGAAAATACGACTAATACAACAACAGATTAGGATTTTATTTTAAGCATAAAAAATGCAAGATAAAATATAAAACTATGAAGAAATCACAAAAATCTCTGATTTATACACATTGAATTACGACAGAATATATATACATAAGGTTTAAATACATTGAAAAAATTATGATGGACTTAAGTAACCACCAGATACAAAAGAAATACCCTCTTTAGATAGATTACTGTAAGTGTTCAAAATAATGGTACGGTTTTTAATTGGAAGTCTCTCATATAAAGGTTTAGAGGATAACGGATGATCCAATGATTCTTCTCTATCATTTAACCATTTTACGACCATCCCAGGATCATTACGTCTCAAAATACTGGGAGAAAAGCCAAGCCCACTACGATGAGCAACAGTCTGCGGAGAATCGAACACAGACCGGATATATACAGATTTTGTTGCGTGTCCTATTTTACAGGAGTTTGATCCCCCACTGAATAACTGCTTGTTAGAACTGCGTGAGATTCGCTCCCCGTAGTAACCAAGACCCTTCCGAACTCTGGGTGGAAGACTACCTTCACAAGTTATAGGAACTTTTATCCCCGAAGAAACTTTAGGATGACCTCTTTTAGCTCCGAGTCCAGTACCTGGAATCCAACCCATCCGTTTTAATAGTTGCCCACCATAACCCTGCCGAAAACGTTTAGGAGAATAGGAAAACTCAACATAATTTACTGGTGACAAATTTAAACAAATAGACTGTAAACACAACATTTTTCTACATTCTTACCGCATCCTTTTTTTAAAGTTCCTACTTACTTACGCCTGTTACCCCTCGTGGAGGAGGATTTCGTTTTTGTTTTGTGGAAACAGTAAACGGTCATTGTTATACGAAGATGGGTAAGTAGAAACACAACCAACAGTGTGGTTTCAAATAATTTATGACAAAATTACACTTCCAAACCAAGACTTAATACTAATAGTAAACAATCTCAATTTACAACCTAAACACGATATATGGTGCGCTACACAACATGATATACTTTTTGTCGATAGTAGTTAATAATCAACTCATATATTTAACGTTCACTTTAGCTGAACAGTAGAGAATCGAAATGCATTCAAAGGCAGATTATTAGCACTTAATGAGTTACCTTATCTAAAAGTGGATCCCTAATTAACTATTTCATCGATAATATCGCTGATTATAATCTCTGTTGTAAGTCATACCCGGTAAGACTAAACATATATTTATTATTGACTGAACTTGCTTTCAAGTACTCGGTTTTAGACAACACGTTTATGAGGGCTAGAGATACTACACAGATATCTAAACCAAAGTTGGTAGATTGAGGCTTGGATCGGTGATCCATTGGTTTCCCAATCCCAAAGCTACTACTTTATACAAATATTATCATTTTTCCATATTTTCGCCACTTACTAATTTAGAAATACTAAAACCCTAGCAAAAACTAGATGACAAGAGACGAATCATATACAAAACGTCTTCATGAAGGCACAGAATAATCAAATTTAAAATTAATCATTCCAAAAAGCAAAATGAAGACCCAAATAAGAGAGACTCTCAGTTTCGATTGTAGAGCATATCAGCTACTTTAGATCGATCGAAAAGGTATTTCAGTCTGTACCAACATGTATGTGGATTATAACTTGACGCAAATACCTTTCATCCGATTATACTATTTCAATCAAACTAAAATTTGGACCGCAATATAAGTCAACTGAACAGGTTTCACTGTTAAAACATACTACCAAATCTCGACGCAACTTATATAATCCCCCTATCTTACTCAAGTACCTTAACAGTGAGCAATGAAAGGATACAGCAAATTTCCTGGTATTCCCAGTCTGTAACTGCCATTTCATTTTACAAATTAGTCTGTTTGAGTAGTCAAGTAGTCTTCCAGTGATTTTTTGTACCTCGTTTCTAACAGAAATATATGCTTGAAAATTTCACAAAAGAATATTTATTAGACTAAAAACTAAAAGGACCAAGAAGACTCACTTTGGTAATCACTTCGCTGGTAAAAAGGGCATACGGATTATGTGCAAGGTCTTGAACACGAATAGATTCCCTTTCTCGATTTATATCAATAAGTTCAGCTGTATCTCTATCTCCACCCTGAAATCCATTTGGACATGGACCCGTACCAATGCCAGTTGGTGTTTCATATGGCTGCATGTCTATATCCCAATCGAAAGATGAGGGTTCGTCAAAAATTTCTTCTTTTCTTAGTGGGTCTAACTTCTCCCAAGTACGTTGATCAGTGTGGAAAACTAGGCCAGATCCACCCTTTTCCCAAACAAGTTCAATTTTACTTTCATACTTTAACTGTGCCTTGTTCCCTCTGTCTAAATTGTACGGGTCGTCATGTAATGCTTCGAAACGATCCCATTCTTCTGGGATATCATCCTCATCCTCAATACTAACTGGGTCTGAAACTAATTCTAAAACATTACTGGAGGGTGCACGACGCTAAAACAGAGTTTTTAAATTTAAATTACTAAAATTGAGTGAAAAACTAAGTATAAAGAATTAAACAAATTTTTGCTATAGCGAATGGTGTGAAGCTTCTAGAAGCACATCCAAAGACATTCCTATCATGAAGAGACTTTAATTACATTTAAGATAGTTAGTAGTGAAAGAGAAAATATTCATTACAAAGACCATTACGTTAGCGTCAAAATAAGGAAAAAACAAAAACTGTCAGTCAGTCAGTCAGTCAGTAACAACGTAGAACTTCGTACGTACGTACATCAGTTCGAGTTGCCACACCACATTAGCACACAGATGCAGTTGTCGATTCAAATCCCGTAGTGGTAGATGTAATAAGAGTATAAGCAGTAATCGGGAAAATTAGTGTTTGGAGATGTTATTTAAAGAGTATAATACAGTGAAATAAATTTGGAAAGAGGAAAAAAGGGACATGAAGAATTCAGAAGATTAGAATTTGAGAGAACACAGAGAGTGGATGCACCTGCGCCATTGCAAACGATTTTGAGCCATGTCATTCAGGGTCTCTAACCATCGCTTGCTATCATCTCGCAGTCCCCGACCAGGTAGTCTACACCTACCAACATGACTCAGTCCACTTGTCAGTGACTTCATGGACTTGTGCCATGTTTTGGTTTGGCCGCCCCTAGCTTTCTTCCAACCTACTCCTATACCACTGAACATAGCACGTCGAGGCAGTCGGTCGTTGGGCATACGTAACACGTGTCCCAGCCATCTCAACTGATGAAGTTTCACTACTTCATCAATTGATTTGCCATCCTTACCTAGTACCCGTTTCCTAACAACTGTGTTACTTACTCGATGGTCCCAGGATATACGAGCAATGTTTCGAAGACACCTATGATCGAATACTAGTAACCTACGAATATCCTCTACTCTTACAGGCCATGTTTCACTGCTATAAAGTAGGACGGAACGAACTGATGCGCAGTAAACACGTCCTTTGGTTGATAGACGGATATCTCGTCTACGCCATAAATGACGCAAGTTGGTAAAAGCTAGTCGAGCCTTCTGTATCCGTGCTGAGATTTCGTCACACACCAGACCACAAGGGCTGATGAGACTTCCAAGATAAGTGAAGCGATCGACACACTCAACTACTTCACTCCCTATCACTAGTTCGGGTATCGATGTAACCCAATTCTGAAGCAACATTTTGCATTTCGAGGGAGAGAATCGCATCCCGCACATGCTTGCATTGTTGCTTAGAGTGGTCAGAAGACTCTGCATTTTGTCAGCGTCTTCACCAAATAAAACTATGTCATCTGCATATTCTAAGTCAACAAGTGAACCTCCTGGTAGAAGTTCAACCCCTGGAAATCTAGACGAGGAAAGTGTTATCTCTAGAAGTACGTCCACGACAAAGTTGAACAAGAATGGGGAGAGCGGACAGCCCTGACGAACACCACTTGAGGTAATCAATTCTGATGACAGTTCGCCATAAGCTCTCACTCTACCAGTTGTGTTCGAGTAGAGAGCCTTTATAAGGTTAATGTACTTCTTTGGTACTCCTTTCAGTGACAAACACTGCCATAGAACCTCACGATCAACAGAGTCGAATGCCGCCTTAAGGTCGAGAAATACTACCATTGTGGTGCGTCTGAATGTGTGTCTGTGTTCTAGAACCTGACGTAGTGTGAATATCTGATCTATACAACCACAAAAACTGAATACAGAATAACTCTAAAATCTATAGAAAAATGACACATTTTAAGTTATTGTGACTATATGAGTCCCGCTAAACCAAAAGCCACATTAATGTAAGCACGATTCCAAATGCTGTCCCTTTAACTGTTGAAACAGCGACAACTTTTTATAGACAATGATGAACTGTGTAAGTTATTGTTTTTATGAACCCTATTTGATTTAGTGTTACAGAAATCAGCGTGTGTTGAACAAACAACCAAAATATTACAAACTACTTGTATGCGCATTTCTCAACCACATCTGTAGAGGAATTACATAGAAGTTCTAAGGTGAGATTTGAAATTAAGACTCCATTGTTAAGATTTTACACCTTACACTACTATGTCAGGTCTACTCATGGAATTCGAAACTCTTGATTTTAAACACTGCATTGGTCAAACAAATTTTTATATAGTCATCACAAACAAATCTTTGTATCTTTCTACAATTCATGTCTAAGCCGCTTCTAATCCTCGCCCCCGTCGATCCAGGGTAACCGCAAAACATCTTCGAACTTCCCTTAGTTAGAATGAGGTTACAAGCTTTTAATGCTAAACCAAATCAATAACCAAGTGGATGTTCTTATACATCAAAACCCTAATTGTGTGGTGATGGCAACATATGATGGTCTTAAACAAAAGCGTTTTTTACCTATGACTCAAGTCAAGCACTTAAGATTCTGATTTACAGAAATTTAGATGTATTCAAGGTGATCACTTAATTTTTTGAGCCTACCACTATATATGTTGGATACAAATGTTGATATAAATGAAGTGTTAGTCAGTTGTCTACTCAAGTCAATTAAACAACGAACATGAGATTATAAAGGGTACATACAATAAGCTATCCGTGGAAATTTACCATCTGAAATTCTTCAATCAGTACAAAGAATTTATAGCAACGAAAATAACAGTCCACTACCTACAGAAAGTTGAATACGCACTTCTGTGTAGTCGCAAATTTTACTGATGGAAACAGCTATTAAACTGCAGAGCAATAACATGCCGACGTTGAATATTCTATCAATATGATTTGTAAACTTCTATAGGATGTAAGTTATAGAATCGCGTAACAATTTACATATCCTTAGTGAACACCTTACAGGAGCTTTCGTAGACCAAAAAATATTTCACACACATTACACATAATGTGAATTTAACATACCTTATTAGGAATATAAGAATTACAGACGACACCACATTCAAAGTCAGCATTATTTGATTCCGAAAATTGAAACCTTTCATCCCCTGTACTTAAACTTCCATAAATGAAAGGAACTGCGCCATATTTGCGGCTCTTAGCTTGAGTAGAGAAGTCTAAATTAAGCTTGGAAATGATTGAACTCTCCAGTTTACACTCTTTGATCAGACTGAAAAAGTACTGAGTAGGTGTCCCGACGTTCCCACGAGGCATCCATGATAGTGGTCTGAACTCAGGTAAACAGCTAAATTCTACAAAAATATAATTAATATAAACGAATTGTCACTTACGTTCCACAGTTGCATGGTCTAATAAATGTAAGGTACATTTCAATTCTAAAGGCACATCGTCATTCTCATTAGGCCAATTAAGACCACTGTATAAACGAAAAAGCTCTTTGATATATTTTCCGTAGATAGACAAAATAGCACAGCAGGTTGTTTTGCTTTTGGCAACTAGTTTGATGGACTTAAGGAACTTGGTTCCATCTATTTCAGTAGTTGGTTCTATACCCACGATATCTGGTCTGTGACGATAGTGAAAACATGAAAATTTAGATGACTCGACGAATTGTGAGAAAAAATTCCTTAAATTAGAAGCGTGGTAAAACTTAGGTATGCCGGAAATCAATAGAAGTCTAGTATCTTCTGCGGAAATTGAACAGGAATCACTAATGTTGTTAGTATAACTCGCATTTAACATCGGATTCCGCAAAGTCGACTTTCGAAACTCTCCTGAAAACAGAAGTGTTTTCAGCTTGTGTTGATGAGCGTAATAACGAAAATATCGATAATCAGATTCAAGATATTTCTACGTCTCCGGTCTTTGATTGGGCATACTGTTTACTAGAAGGAACTGGTGAGCTTTAGGACTTTCGGGATCTGTTTTTGAACTGTATACGTTTCTTGTCTAGGGAGAGGTATATTTTTTATTTCAGTCTCATGGAGACCTAAAAAGATTAAAACATGAGTTAATAATAAGAGTGGTCGAGAAATGCGGCATTAACATAAATGTTATGGTTGCTTTTTTATAGTATTCCAATGTTTTTTAAATACTCGAATGCATTTTACTTATTATTACCTGTCAAGCTGCAACCAGTCGTCAAGTTCACATATTTCTATCGTTAGCTAAACGGCAAGACTGACTGACATGCACGTCGTAATCTTGAAGTCACCAACTTGTTTCTGACTGGTTCGGGAGCATTCTTTAGGTTAACCATGAAATTTTTTAAAGAAACGGCAGATAATATCAGTATTTCTTTCCGTAATGAAACACATAGTTTACAGTTTCCAACCGTAAAAACATATGATATAAAAACTCCTTGTATACTCTGTGAGGCATTTGAAGTGCATTGATAGATGTATTTCATTATCAAAAAGAACTTGTCATTTGATTCTTATAACGTTCGGAATCAATAAAAATACATATGGTGGAACAAAAATGTGAAGCTAAGACGATGCTTGAAATAATAAAGTATACCTGCTTTTAAGGCAGACTGTGTGCTAAAGTACCTAATATGGTTCAATGAGTAACCGAGTGTCTAAATAAATTGGATAGCATTTTCCCATTCCAACCCTTCTGCTAGATTTTGATCCTAAGTTTCTCAAGTTTGTAAACAGAGGGTTGACGAAGCAATGCATTATAACTGATGTCGGTTTCTAATGAAAACCACCACCCTCATTTGTACACTCAACATAGAACTCCAGCACTACTCATAATACAACTTCCTAACCTTTTCTAAAATATAACCAATGCCATATGATGATGATAACTACGGGGTGATAACCCGAATTATGAACATTATCCCGACTCTCTAAATGTAAACTTGAAATTTTCCCTATACTAAAAAAATCATTTGGCATGAATGTTGATTGATCAGATCAAAGTTGGGCGAGACTAATTTAAGGACGACCTTTGAACGAATCTTAAGTGACCTTGACAATTATTAGCCAATCAGAAGAAAGTTAGTATGAAGTGAAAATATGTTATATGAAAGTAATGAATTACAGTGGATATTCTTCTTTTACATGATTTAAAAACTTGTTAAGGTTTGATTAAAGTTCAGAGGTTCTGAATTCATAATGCATATGGAATAGAAACTCATCTATTGGATTAGAGTTAGGTTTACGGGTGAGGTTAGGGTTAGTTGAGGGTTAAGGTTTAGGGTTAGGTGAGGGTTTAGGGTTAAGGTTAGAGTTTAGGGTTAGTTGAGGGTTTAGGGTTAGGTGGGGGTTTAGGATTAAGTTAGGGTTTAGGGTTAGAGTTAGGTGAGGGTTGAGGTTAGAGTTTGGATGCTAACATACAACTTTTTAAATCATGTCAAATAAGAATATCCACTGTAATTTATTACTTTCTTTTAATTTATTTTTACTTTATGCTGTCTTCTGATTGACTAATAATTTAAGTTGCTCAAACGCTTCTGATTGGCTCATCCCTAAATTAGAATCTCGCCGTCCTATCTGTTGTAACCTCTCATTAATCACCTACTCTCTAAAATCCGCTGTGAACCGATCGTATGTTAGCAGCGCGTGTTGAACTTGGCTCCGTGACCTTGAAATTGCTCAAACGCTTCTGATTGTCTCGTCCCTAAATTAGAGTCTCGCCCAAAGTTGTTATTCCAATGTTATTTCATTGCGTCTTGTTGTTAATTGTCTGCAACTATGCAGCTTATCCTCATTTACTGATAAGTCACTCCGGTTCATCAGTATGCCGTACTTTCATATCGCACCAATAATATCATGGCGGAATGGAGTCATTCAAACGATTTCCTACGTCCGCATGGACGCTCCAAGAAGAGCTTTTGAGGAGCCACATGAGTTTTGGTACGAATGTTTCCGTATTCTAATGCAGGAGATCCCACTAGGAACTTAGACGTTCATTAACAACATAAAATAAATTGTCCGCAAATATATTAAGCCCTCCATATTTGAGCTTCGTGATTGAGTAACTGAGTCTAACGATTCATTAGTGTGTACAGCTTGGGATCAGGAGTATAGTTTAACGTTTGGTTAAAATAGGATAGAGTTTCGGTGAAACAAAACGTAAGGCTTGATGTCAATCCTTAAATTCTAACATTTACATCACGAATTCCAGATACTTATTGTAATCTGTGTATCAACATGATTCCGTACAGATCCCATTTGATAGATCGGAATTGTTTAGCCACCAGAATTTTGTGACTTCCAATTACAGTTTTTTATAAATTGAGATGCCTTTTTTAGATATTGAAACGTCACTCAATGCTCTCAGTACAGTATAGTTAAAACACAAAAATATGTTACGAACCATCAATAACAGCGCAGCGTATAGCTTGAAATTAGTGCTATAGTTAAATGTACAATCTTCAGTCAGTCTTCAGTCTTCAGTAATAAGGATAGGAGTTCTGTCGACCTATATTAATCCTTGCAGTTTGTAATACTGTGGAGGTCCAATCTCGTTTTGAATATATTTACAGACGGTGCTGATATTACGTGTTCCGGTAGGGAATTCCAGTAATTCACTACTCGGTGCGAGAAACGGAACTCCAGACGTAAACGGTTTGACCTCGGTTTTTGAACTTTCTTCGAATGTCCTCTCAAATGATCGGTTCTAGACGGAAGCAAAAGATAAGACATGTTAATACCAAGGTCATCGTTCAGTATACGATAAGCCAATATTAGATCACCCCGTACTCTACGGTAAGATAACGGAAATAAGTTAAGGTGTCTCAGTCTGTCTTCATAAGATAGGCCAGCTAGACCTTGTACCATCTTAGTAGCTCGTCGTTGGACTCTTTCTAGCATATCTACTTCATATTTGAAACAAGGACTCGCTGCTTAAATCCCGTATTCTAAATGTGGTCGCACATAAATCGGATATAGTAATCCAAACATTTCATCATCTAAATACTGGAAAGACCTACGAATTGACCATAATACCCTATAGCCTTTTGCAGCAGCAGCCTTACAGTGACTAGTCGTTTTGAGATCATTGCTTAATACAACTCCTAAGTCTTTATAGTTTCTTGCTTTGGGTAGCACGAATCCACGTAGTGTATAGTCATACGATTCATCTGAGTTATTTAACTGCATTACTACACTCTTATTAGGATTTACTTCTAGTGACCACCTGTCTAACCATGCCACCAATGAGCTAAGATCGTCCTGTAATACTATTCTATCCGACATACTATGTATGGGTCTCCAAATCTTTATGTCATCAGCGAAGAGTAGAACGGATGATTTTGCTACAGTTGGCAATTCATTTACATAAAGTAAAAAGAGAAGAGGACCTAGGATTGTGCCTTGGGGAACCCCACTTTTTACAGGTACCCACGAGGAGAGAGCCCCATTAACCCTTACCCTTTGTCTCCTGTCATGAAGAAAGTTACTTATCCAATCGACGACTGTGTTATGGATTCCAAAACGTTTCAGTTTGAATTTAAGACCAGAGTGTGAAACCTTATCAAAGGCTTTACTTAGATCTATGAAAATTACATCCACAGGAGCATTCCGATCCTTTGCCGCAGCCCACTCTTCTTGCGCAATGAGAAGATTTGTCAAGCAAGATAGGCCTTTCCGAAAACCATGTTGTGCCCTGGAGAAAAGATTTTGCCCTTCAACATAGTTTATAACAGCTATCCGAATGATTTTCTTCAGCAGTTTCACAACTGCACTAGTTAAGCTAACGGGTCTATAGTTACTAACTAAATCCCTACTCCCAGCCTTATACACCGGACTTATTATGGCGTCTTTCCAGTCTCTAGGAAGTCTGGACTGTCTCAGAGACATGTCGAATAGTATCGCTAATGGTTCGGCAATTTCATCTGATATGGCTTTCATAATCCTAGGATGAATATCATCGGGACCACTGGACTTATCAGGTTTGAGATGCTGAAGTAGCCTTAAAACAGTATCTTTCTCAATGACTACAGGATCCATCAGCGAGCCGTCACGGCCACAATGAATCATTGGTCGTTCCTCATTACCGATAGAAAACACTTTACTAAAATATTCCGATAAAGCTTCAGCTTTTTCGGCATCATTCTCTGCTAAGATTAACGGATTGTCTCGTATCAAAAGTGATGGAATTCCATAGCTTCTCTTAGTTCGCCTTTTTATATACGAGAATAACCGTTTCGGAAATTATCTAGAATCCCTAACCAATTGTTTTTCGTATGAATGTCTAGTCTTGCTTATTAACGCTTTACAGGCATTCCTAATCTTACAATAACTGGATCTGTATTGTTCTAAACCAGTAGAGATGAACATATTCCAGTGATTCTTCCTTTTTCTAAGGAGTTTCCTGACCGTTTTAGTTATCCATGGTGGACTATTTTTCGGTCTTCGCGGTACCAGGTATGGTATGATCGGGGACGTAACTAGTCTAAATTTACCTTTAAATACAGACCATGCTTCTTCAACTGATATGCTAGCATCTACTAACCAATCTGTCTTAGCAGCGCATTCCTGAATGGCTGATATGTTAGCTTTCCATACATTTGGGCGCGGTGTAACCTGATCGTATAACATGTCCCTAGTTCTAAACGCGAATGACAAAACAGCGTGATCGCTGTTTACTAACGGTGGAAGAATATTTAAGTCGACAATATCCTCAGTCTCATGAGTGATTACCAAATCCAGCAGAGAAGAACCCTGGTTAACACCAAAACGTGTGGGTTGGGATACATGCTGCACTAGTGCATGCTCCATCAATGTTATCAGTAACCTACTATCAAAGGAGTTTATAGATCCTTCTGTGGTCATATCAGTCCAATTAATATCAGGTGCGTTAAAGTCTCCTATTATCAAGCACCTGGTATTATCACTCCAATGATGAGTGTGCTCTAAAACAAAGTCATCAGCTAAGCAGATTGGGCTCCGATAGATGACACCTAGCATAAATGTACTACATCCTATTGCCAACTTACAGCTAATGACTTCACAAGTGCCGCTATCATGGGATTCGCTAGTAAAGGAGCGGATATTTATGCCATTGGCGATATATAACAGGACGCCGCCTCCTTTTCTACATCTATGTCTATCACTCCTGATGCAATGGTATCCGGATAATTCTGGAGTAATGTCTAAGTCATGGACCAACCAAGTTTCTGTCACTGCTACTATGAGTGGCTTTAACCTGTCTACTAGTGCTTCTAGTTCATAGAACTTATTTCGTAAACTACGAGCGTTGGCATATAAAACTCCTAAGTAGAACAGCCTATCCACACAGGCCTTGGTAGCATTCGCTTCCAAGACCTGACTATCCGAAAACCCACTAACCGGAGATTTTCCTCGCCGTTTTGCCGACGGGTTTCAAGTTCAGCTAGTGCTTTCTTCCTTTTTATTCTATCTTCGAGAGGCATGTCAGGTCTAACTCGGATGTCAGAATTGTCGTGACAACGAGCGCTACTTAACAAGAGATCCCGTTGCTTCTCCGATCCTAGGATTACCTTAAGGAGTCTGCATGGACGGGGTTCAACATTGTCCTCGGCCCTCTTGCCTATTCTTATCAATTTTTTGACCTGAACTCCTTTGGAGTTATCTGGTAAAATACTACGAATGTATTCTCCTAGCTTTTCTAAGTCATGCGCGTGTCTAATTTTCGGATCAGGGTCGTTTGACTCCCGCAATTTGCTCACAATAATATTCGATGTTATTAGATTTTTCTTCTCAGTCACGCCAGGATGGGTTTCACTCTTACCTTCAGATTTTGGTAGTGCAATTTGTGGCTCACAATTTGGGTCCACCAGGGAGTTACTAACTACCTGTGTACTGCTTACAGCTTTTTTCTTTTCGGTTCGTTTCCTACGTACCGTATTCCATTTTTCATCCCTCATAACACTGGGACTATTTGGAACGGTGACTGTTTTATCCAGATCTTCGGTTTCCATTAAAGGTGCATTATTAACAATGTCAGTACCAGATGGTACTACTCCCCCTGTTAATGTCAACGAATATTCCACTTTTACGTCAGTCAGAGTCAATTTTTGAGGCGTCGCGTAACAGCAGGTACTACACTGACACATTCGTCACTGTCAGTGCCCGTGTTGTCGGCGCATATGCCATCCTTCTTTTTACATGCCAAAGCCAACAGGCTCATAGCCTCCTGTATTAGTAATGCCTTGTTGGCACAGCAAAACATGCAAAGCCAATGTGAGTTAGGCTTCGAGCATCTTTTGTATGCGGTGGGACTTAAGCGGGTGCACATTTTGTGGAACCACTTATGGCATTCGTCACACTGCATCCCCTCTTCCACAGGGAACAAACAGTTTGGTTGCCCACATTTGTGAGTCTTACCAACCATTGTGATTCGATTTAAAAGGTTTAAAAACAAAAATGATAACAATATGAATACAAGTGTTAGTCAAGGACTAAAAACAGGTACCCAGGACAAAATGTAGCAAAAATTTCAAACTTTAACCAAAGAACTCTTAGTTAAAGTAGACCAAGAATGCTTTTTAGTGCAATAAATACCAAAAGCAAGTATAATCACAACAAGTACAAAATTCACTGCCCTTTTTGAAATTCGCGATCATCTTTATCCTTAAGTATTATAAGTCAGTTGACCTTTATTAATTCTCGTTACTAGTATTCTCAGCATTGCTATGCACAGCCGTTTTCAAGTCATGAAATAATATGTGTTCAATACTTCTTTGTTTCTTGCAAGTGCATGTATGCACTTATCCTGAGGGATATGTGTTTCTTTGATGATAAAGTGGAGGCTATTTTATAACCAATATCCATAAGCACACATCAAGGTAGTCTAACTTATTCATTTGGATCAGTTCGGAGTTCAAGATGGTAACTCTTGCTACATATTGTTCTTCGGCATCTGCGATTTTTGGAAACAGGAGTGTCAGTGACTTGAGCACCACTTAAAATTCTTTAAAATAGAGAAGAAACTGTACTGATAAATCGATGTTCAAAGTAAACAGTTCTGTATGTCTTCCACTTTTGATGCGAACCTGATTAGTTTTAATGGAAACACCTAGCTGAATGTTTTCGATCATACGTCCGCACCAGATTATGAGCGGGTACACCATACAACGCTTCTTCTCAGACCATTAGCCAGCTTAGACCTGACGCTTCTCGACACATCGGTAGCCTTTCGAATATAATGTCGGGTCTCTTTACTTCTGACCTCTGATTCGACTGGGTTGGCATACTTCGATCATAACGGTGTCACTGACATGGGCGTTGTTAAACTCCAGATACTTGTTGCATTTCCATGTGCTTTATTTTATTGTTCTGACCGACAGGCAGCATTTATGATGACGTCCATTGATGTTTTAGGCCATATTGTGCGCTCTAATTGCGATGTTTCTGTCCTCACTTTGAACATCATCA